ATTAATTTCCATTTATTGATTTATGCCTTTCAACATATCCTGGGGTTCCGTTATAATAAGAATTTACCTTATGGCTAAAACAAATAAACTTTATGACAGACTTATTTTCACGCGGACACATACTTTAAGAGTAAGGAGAAATATTCAACAATTTATTTTTTATATTATATGTTTTTATTACTAATAAAAAAATCTATACCTTCCTTATAAGAAAATTTCTGAAAAAATAACTCTTGTAAGGAGAAAGATTCTACCTTCGTTTTTAAGGGTCATAAATCATTTCTGGATATTTGTAATAAATTTTACGTATTCTAAAGCCGAAAAACCTGAAGGAGGTACGAGTGGATAATAAAAAGGCCACCATACAAGAGCGACAATGAACGCCAACAACAACCGCAGCCACCATGACGACAAAGACTTACCACTAACTGAGTCGTAATACAGAATTGTCTAAACGAATAATGGTGTGACTTGTAGCGTAGTGACGAAGAAAAAAATTAAAAAAAAAAATAATATTTTTTCACGTTTTGTTGTTATGAAGTTAATGCCAAAGGTGATAAAGGTAGTAATTTGTATGTTTTGTTTGAAGTTTGTGATTATTGTTGTTGAGACTGCAATGGATTTTTGTCTTATGCTACGCCATTGGTTGCACGGGGTGTTAGAAGAGTATTGAAGTGTTAAAAGTTATAATTGCAATTTTCAAAAATATTGAAAGAAAAATGAGCTTTTGATTTATGGCATATTTAATATACAGGAAAAAAAATGGAGAGGAGGGTGGGTGATAAAGAGAGACTTATAGGGGGACATAGTAAATTTTTATTTAGGCTACAATTGTAAAGGACAAATTGTGCTGTGTCAAATAAAAATCTAAAAATCCATAAATCAAATCGACAATATCAATAGCCGGCAGATATTTTCATATCTCATACAAATATATAATTTTGTTCGTGAATATGAATATGCCACATAATTCTTTCAAGCATAAAATTAACTTCAAAAGAACTTCCACAGGCAAAGAGTAATACAAGTATTTGATACTGATTTTTTCTTCGTCGTCTTCTTTTTGCTTTGTCGTCACGGTTTTAATTTACACACCCAATTTCGAAAATTACAAACTTTAAGAAGGGTATTTAGTATTTAGTAACCGAAAAAAACCAAACCAAAAAACTGCTGAAATTATCCAAAAAATAAAAATTAAAACTAAAGAAGAGAGGGGAGCAAGGGAGGGGTGTCATAAATAATATGACTCTAAGCTATACAATCCCAGTCAGCTGCAAAATTAAGCCAGTCCGGCAGGCAGACAGACAGCCGGTCTGGTATGCCTCACTGAATGTGCGAGCAGTGGAACACAAAATTGCTTATATTGCTGAAAATCGCCCCCCAAAAATCAACCAAGCGTCCAGTTTTATGCTCTCTGGCTATACGAAACTTTTGTCTTCAAAGGGGAAAAAAAACCAAAACAAACAAAAAAGGAGCAAAACATAAAACAAAATAAAAATCCACAAAAAACAAATGATGAATTTTAAACGCAAACATTGATGCATTTTATGGATTTGCAGCCGACTAGCAACACAAAGCAGTTTCTCTATAAATCAGATTTTTTTGCCTCACATTTGATGGGGTGTTCGGTATTGCAGGCTTTTATGTTTTGTTTGTTTTTGTGAAATTTATAAAACTGACCATAAAAGTGCAACGCTAATCAGAAATAAGAAGCAGCAGCTTCAGCAACATAGTAATGAAGGCAAAGATAAAATAAAAAACTAGTGATTTCTCTGTTTAACAGTATTGGACAACTAGTTCCGCTTTTGTGAACAATAAAAATCTGTTAAATAAGAAAAAATATTACACAGAAGCATCAAATAGAATACAATTTTATTTATTTACAACGAAGGTAGTATCAAAAAAATTGGTTGTGAAATCACTTGAAAGAATATTTTCTTAATAAACGGATATTGAACTCTGTAGCAACTAGTTCCGATTTGTGAACAATAAAAAAATAAAATTATATGTTCAACAAAATCGATGCTACAAAAAATGTATAAGAACTTGTGTATTATAAAATGCAAAGCCATACAATAAATACTAACATAAGGCCACTATCGAAATAGTGAACCAATCATGAACCCAGAGAACCGTTTATGAACTAGTACACCATTTGTAAAATATTAAATCATGAAGTTAATTGATTAACCTGGCATTGCTGTCATTAAAAATTATGCAGATTTTGAGCTAGTATAACGAATGAGAAAAGTAATGAACACTTTGTGAACAAATAATAGATTAGAGAACTATTGAACTATTATTGCTGGAACCCATATCATTTTGTGACTTATTAACTATTTCGCTAGTTTTACATTGAGAATAATAAGGATGTCTAAAAAATTCACAAAAATATCAGAACCAATCATGATTTTATATGGAAACGTTAGTGAAGAACTTTTCTATTATAAAATACAAATCCATAAAATAAATACTAAAATTAGGCCACTATCGAAATAGTGAACCGAACCAGAGAACCGTTTATGAACTAGTGCCCATTTGAAAAAATTGTATGTCATGATGTTCACTGATTAATCTGCCATTAAAACTTATGCAGATTTTAAGCTAGAATATCGAATGAGAAGTATTGTGAACTAGTATGAAATCAATAATAGATTAGAGAACTACTGAACTATTAGCTGGAACACATACCATTTTGTGACTTATTAACTATTTCGCTAGGTTTGCAGTGAAAATAATTAGGACGCTTAAAAAATTCACAAATACCATTGGTAAATAATAGACCAAGACATTCATTAGTTCATCTTCATTCGATTGCTGAGATCATTAGTTTGAGATATATACGCTATACCCTAGGTTTAATGAACTTCTATATAAGCAAATGGTGGGGAATATATATATATATATATATAGAGTTACGTCGTTTAGGAGCGAACTAGTTTAAAAGGAACGATTGATAATAGATCATTTACTCCCGTGCACCTAGTTCCCTTAGATGCAATCGTTAATTTAGTTCATTCCGTTTATTGATCGAATAATATACAAATGAACGATCAGACTAAAAGGGCTTACGGGACTAAATGAATGACCTAGTTCAATTTGCGGAAAGGGTAATTCTAGTTTAATTCAAAATCAAATAACCTTTCTTAAACTAGTCAGTTAATAAATAAATCAACGAAGTAATAAAAAGCAAATAAAAGGAATGAATAAAGAGCTAATGAACTGGAACTGAACTATTCCACACCTATACAACAAAGAGTTAATCATTGTTTTTACTGAATTTAATACATAAAATATTGAACGATCAGAACACAGATGAATCAGAAAGCCAATAATGAATCCATAAGTCAGTTATGAAATAATGAACCAAGTTGTTCATGAAGGAATCTATAAAACATACGGTATTGAACTTGAGATTCATAATAAATAGAATAGTTGGGTCGTTCTTGAGCGGTCGGTAGGGTAATAGGTCATTCCGTTTGTTCATATAGTTCATTTTAGATAATTCGCGTAGAAATAATGAATGGTTGGGAAAAAACTAGGGAATGAATTTCGAAACTTTTCAAACAGTGATTAACCATAGAGATATCTTGCAGAAATAATGAACCGTTAGGAACTAGTGTTTTATGTTTTTATTAATGCAACAATGTAACTAATGATCAGTTATTGAACAATGATTTGGGGTAAAAAGTTTAATTTATTGAATCTAAAATAATTATTGAACTATTCAAGACATTATTATGTTTTCGTGTATTTGTGAACTGGTGAACAATTCTTGAACTAGTGAGTTATTGGAGGTTGATTCATTAATCAAGAACCGAATTAATTAATTAAATTAAATTAGAGCTCCTTTAATTAACCAGAGGGACTTTGATGATATATTTAAACTTTGGATTTGTACAAATATCGAAAAGAATTTGCGAATGATACAGCAATTGAATCGCTGGTGATAATGAACAAACATTCTGGACCATTTTCACTATTTGGAACTATTAGTGAGTCACACATTAAACACTATTAATTGTTTGAACCCTTTTAGCTGTTCTTGATGTCGATTGTTGTATAACAATTATAAAGATATATATTCGGATGAAATTGCCGAGGAAATAATCAAATTACAGAGGAATGTAAGACTCAATGAAATCTTAACGAACCTGTTATCTGTTGGTGAACTAATGAACTATTGGTCATGATTCTATAATAAACGATTGAGAGTAAATATTGAAGAAAAAAATCATATGATTTCTTATTGAAATCTTTTATGAAATGATTTGTGAACTTAACATTCGAAAAAGGGAACAAAGGAGCCAGTTACTCAATGGTAATCATTTAGATTTACAAGGGTTTCTGTGAACTAGTGACACTATATTTGAAAATTGTATATATTAATGCATGATGAAAATAATGCAACATATGGAAGAGGATCGAACTTTGAATTGTTATTTGTGCTCGGTGCTTTAAATAAGTCTTTATAGAAAGTTTTTTAAATATAATTTATAAATCATTGGTGAACTAATGTCTGAATAAATAATGCTGTAAGAGTTGTTCAATTTAAAATTTGAATATCAAAGAATCCGCATATACTGAATAAACTTATTATACCGCACCTCAATTTGGTAACGAAAGAAATTTTTGATGTATACAATTGAGAAATGTAATTGAAAATAAATTAACCATATATGGCAATAATTAACAATGTAACTAACAATGCCAGTGAAATTCTATTCAATACAAATCACGTGTTAACAAAATAGAAAAAAAAAACAATGGACGTGGTTTAGAAACTAAATAAGGAGAATTAAATTTCAAAATAGCATTTCCGCCAGAGTAATATTGTGGAAAATATATTTGGTTTAGGAAACAAAATTTCTCCGGAAATAAAATTCCCTAATAAATATATAAAATAATATTTCGAATTAGTTTTAAAAAATTAAAAATAATGTTTTCTCGCCATATTATATTTTATATTTTTTGAAAAAAGTATTGAATTTGTAACTTACATTGTGATGCAAAGGCTTGATAGTACTGTGACAAATATGTCAAAATTGATAATCTGTCGGGTACTTCATAGGCGGCCATATCATCAGCATCGAGCAGAGCAGGTATACCCAAATATTTTTCAGCTGTTGTAAATGCCAAGGCATTGTTGTAGTACACATCGGCTTTGTTCAATTTATCGAAATCACTGGAATTAGAAAAAAATAATAATTAGATTTAGAAAAAATATTTTTATTTAATTTTTGGATTTTTTAAAGAATATTTTTTTCAAGTTTCATACAAGGCGTGGATTTTTTAAAGAATATTTTTTTTCAAGGTTCATACAAGGAGTGGATTTTTTAAAGAATATTTTTTCAAGCCCCATACAAGACGTGGATATTTTAATGAATATTTTTTCAAGCCCCACAATATTCAAATATCTCAAGGCTAAATCATGTAAAATCAAAAGACTTAAGAACCAAACATGCCATAAAAAAGTGTTACCCTGGACAACTAGCATACAAGGCCATTTACTATGTATGCCTGTCGTTTAAATTAGACATTTCGTGTTGAAATGTTATCAATTTTGAAATTTTCTGCAATAAACTAATTTATTTGATTTCAATGTCGAATTATTAAAAAGAAACATATCGACCACAAAAAGGCCAACAACAAATTGCACTTAACATAAATTGAACAACTTATTTTGTTAACATTTCTGTTTTCATTTCATTGACTAAATACTCAATTTTCATGTTTAATATAAATGTCAAAATTGGTTTCTAGTTTTGAGTTTGGTTTCATTTTCAGATTTTTTTTGCTCGGTTTTTTTTTTAATTTCTGTTCAACGCAATTTAAAGTGATTGCACTTAACCTAGTTTTGAGTTTTAGTTTGTATTGCTTTTTTTTCAAATTAGTAGTAGCAGCAAAAGTAAGAAAATCGAAGTGAATAAACGAAGCGAATAGAAAAAGAGCTACATACATACATATTTATATTAACTACATGAATACATTGGTTGGCCGTGTTATTAAAACACAATTAACCAGTGGAAGTGGTAGCAACAATAATTGTTGCTGCTGCAGTTTTTTTAAATATGCAATAAGCAAAAAAACAAAAAAATAACATAAGAAACGATTGTTATACTACAATAAATTTTCATATTTAATTACAGCAACAAACGAACTCAAAAAAAATTAAGGGGACCCCCCCCCCATTCTCGGCGTCAAAATTTTTTTTGATTTAATTCGAATCTACTCTAATTCTAGAATGTTCCTACAAAATTTCAAGTGAAAATCTCAAGAACTCCTGAAGATATAGCTGATTTATTGTGTCTGCATCAAGAGACGGCTAAAGGGCTTCTCAAACTTTAAACGCGTTTTTCTCTTTTGCGAATGGCGGGCACGATAACTCAAAAACTAATAATCCAATCGGTTTCAAATTTTAACACGTTTCTCTGGGAGTGTGTAGCTCTCGTATGAACTAGGATAAAGCCAATCGGTGAAGATCTTCCTTATTTTTTAACTTAGTTTGTGGTAAAAAATAGGCGATTTCCCAAAAAAAAAATTTTCAAAGTTCCGCCATTTTGTTAATTGTTGTGCGAAGTCAATAATCCTAGTTCATACGAGAGCCAGACATGTCCTCTTTCGAACACCGTTGGAATTTTCGGATTCCGATGTTCCAGTGAGGAGTTATCATGCCCGCCATCGAAAATATGGACTTTTCTTTGAACCCAAAAAACAACAACAAAACAACAACAACAAATTTTGGTAAATTATTTTTCTTCTTTTTAAATCTTCAAATATATATGTGCCAAGTTACAAACCTTAACAAGCATTGGTATTCATTTACCAGCCCATTTAAAATCTTAAAAATAAAAAATCGAGAATGGGGGGGGGTTCCCTTAAATGAAACCGAGAAAATAAAGAAAACTTGTTGTTCATTGTTTGGTTAATGCGGTTGTAAATTTCATAAGAAAACTATACCAAGTAGTAAATTGCAAAAATACTACAACAACAAAACTACAAAACAAAAAACAACAACAACATTACAAAAATTTGCAATGAGGTGTATCATGTTGAACATGATTATCCAGCAATTAATAACAGCAAAAAGGCCTGAAGAGTAGTAGTAGTAGGAAGGAGAGGAGGAGGCTGGCAAGTCAGAAAATTTGAATTTCAGCACTCGAATAAAATTTACAACGATTTGCTTCGTAGTTTTACAATTCATATTGTTGTCTTGATGTTGTTGTTGTTATTGGTATTTTGATTGACCCAAATTTCCCATCCGCTGAAGGAGAATCACGATTTTCACATTTTCGAAAAAACCTTCCCCCTTGCAACGCAAACAAATTGTTAAAAAATATTGGGAAAAAAATCTGTGACTAGTTTTGTGACCTTGTCAAGGTGTTTCTATTGATTTTATAACAATAGCTGAATTTTATTGTTGTTGTTGTTTTTATTTTTTCCAACTCAGATTCTAAATGGCTAATGATTTATTAACTGATATCCGGAGGAGAACGCTTTAGAGAAACAATAGAACTTTTTCATAAAATTAAATGGCCACAACATTAGAGACAAATAGTTGGACGGACATGTAATGTACAATTGTTTGTTGTACTTACTTGTATTTTTTTATAAATTAACATTTTAAAAGTATTTTTTTCGCATATGAGTGTTTAAGCATGATTCTCAGGTGTTTGCAAATGTAAGCAAATACAAAACGAGTTTTAATTAAGGGAACCCCCCCATTCTCGATTTTAATTTTTCAAGATTTTCAATGGGCTGGTAAATCAATACCAATGCTTGTTAAGGTTTGTAACTTTACACATATATAATTGAAGATTTAAAATAGAAGAAAAATAATTTACAAAAAAAATTGTTGTTGTTTGTTGTTGTTTTTTGTAATTAAAGAAAAGTCCTTATTTTTGATGGCGGGCACGATAACTCCTCACTGGAACATCGGAATCCGAAAATTCCAACGGTGTTAGAAAGAGTACATGTCTGGCTCTCGTATGAACTAGGATTATTGTCTTCGCTCTAAAATTAACAAAATGGCGGACACTTGAAAAAATATTTTTGAAAAATCCCCGAATTTTGACCAAAAACCAAGTTAAAAAATAAGGAAGATCTTCACCGATTGGCTTTATCCTAGTTCATACGATAGCTATACACTCACAGAGAAACGTGTAAAAATTTGAAATCGATTGGGTTATTAGTTTTTGAGTTATCGTGCCCGCCATTCGCAAAAAAATGTTTAGAGAAAAACGCGTTTAAAGTTTGAGAAGCCCTTCAGCCGTCACTTGATGCTGACACAATAAATCGGCTATATCTTCAAGAGTTCTTGAGATGTTCACTTGAAATTTTGTAGAGACATTCTTTAATCAGTGTAGATTCGAATTATATCAACAAAAATTTTGACCCCGAGAATGGGGGGGGTCCCCTTAAAATAAAATCCAAATGAAATAAAGAAAAATATTTGAAGGCAGAAGCGTAGACGGAATAGTAAAGAGGAGGAGATGAAGATTTAAAAATATCTATTTGGATTTTTTAAAGAATATTTTTTCAAGGACCAACACAAGGCGTGGATTTTTTAAAGAATATTTTTTCAAAGCTCAAAAAAGGCGTGGGTTTTTTAAAGAATATTTTTTTCAAAGGCCAAAAAAGGCGTGGATTTTTTAAAGAATTATTTTCAAAGGCCAAAAAAAGGCGTGGATTTTTTAAAAAATATTTTTTCAAATGCCAAAAAAAAGCGTGGATTTTTAAAAAAATATTTTTTCAAAGGCCAAAAAAGGCGTGGATTTTTTAAAAAAATATTTTTTCAGTGGCCGAAAAAAAGGCGTGGATTTTTTAAAAAATATTTTTTTAGTGGCCGAAAAAAAGGCGTGGATTTTTTAAAGAATATTTTTCAATGGCTATAATAGGTGTGTATTTTTAAATGACATTTTTCAAAGGCTGTTATAGGCGTAGACTTGTAAAGAATATTTTTTCAAGGGCTATAATAGACGTGCATTTTTCAAAGTTTATAATAGGCGTGGATGGTTTAAACTTTTTTTTCAAAGGCTTCAAATTTGTTAAAGAATTTTTTTTTTTCAAGGAATAAACTTTTTAAACGCTTACATTTTTTTAAAGAATTGTTTTTTCAATGCATGATTGTTTTAAGAAAATTTTTTCAATGCATGACGTTTTTTAAGAAAATTTGTTCAAAGACATTATTTTTGTTAGCAAATGGCATGACATTTTTAAAGCAAATTTTTTCAAGGCGTTAATTTTCAATTTTCTTCAAGGCATGATTTTTAGCCGCATCTGTTATTGTAATAATAGCCTCTGTTAATGTATTAAAAATGTATGCTTAAGTATTAACAGCCTCTGCTTAGGTATTAACAGTTTCCGTTAATGGAATAACAACCTCTGTTAATGGAATAAAAGCCTCTGTTAAGGAATTTACAGCTTTTGTTAATGTATTGACAGTCTATGACAGTATTATCAGCATCTGCAAAAGTATTTACAGCATCTGTTAATTTATAAACAGCTTCTGTGAATGTATTAACAGCCTCTGTTAATGTATTAACAGCCTCTGCTAATGTATTAACACCCTTTGTTAATGTATTAACAGCCTCTGTTAATGTATTAACAGCCTCTGTTAATGTATTAACAGCCTCTGTTAATGTATTAACAGCTCTGTTGATGTATTAACAGTCTCTGTTAATGTATTAACAGTCTCTGTTAATGTATTAACAGCCTCTGCAAATGTATTAACAGTCTCTGTTAATGTATTAACAGCCTCTGTTAATGTAATAACAGCCTCTGTTAATGTATTAACAGCATCTGTTAATGTCTTAACTGCCTCTGTTAATGTATTAACAGCCTCTGTTAATGTATTAACAGCCTCTGTTAATGTATTAACAGCATCTGTTAATGTCTTAACTGCCTCTGTTAACGTATTAACAGTCTCTGTAAACGTATTAACAGTCTCTGTTAATGTATTAACAGTCTCTGTTAATTTATTACCAGCCTCTGCAAATGTATAAACAGTCTCTGTTAATGTATAAACAGTCTTTGTTAATGTATAAACAGTCTTTGTTAATGTATTAACAGTCTCTGTTAATGTATTAACAGTCTCTGTTAACGCATTAACAGTCTCTGTTAATGTATTAACAGTCTCTGTTAATGTATTAACAGCCTCTGCTAAGTTATTTACAATCTCTGTTAATGTATTAACAGTCTCTGTTAATGTATTAACAGTCTCTGTTAATGTATTAAAGCCCTTTGCTAATGTTACTGTATTAACAGCATCTGTTAATGTATTAGAGCCTCTGTAAATGTATTAACAACTTGTGTTAATGTATTATCAGCTTCAGATAATGTATTAATAGCCTCTGCTAATATATTAACAGCATCTGTTGATGTATTGACAGCCTCTATTAGGGTATTAAAATACTGTGCTACTATATTAAAAGCCTCTGTTAATGTATTAACAGCATCTGTTGATGTATTAACAGCCATTGTTTCCCCAATTTTATTAAAAAATATTTTAAAAATTTTGTAAGTTTTTTTGATAATGATAACAACAGTTTTTTAAAGATTGTTTCGTTTTATGCCCCACTTCCTCACACGTCATTGGCTTATTAGTTTGTTCTGTTTTTAATTATTGTTTTAGATATATCTCGAATTCCCTAGCCTTTGTATGCTAAACTAAATGGGAGTTACGAACAAATGTTAAATGCTAATGGGGTTTCGAACTCTTAGATTGATGTTCAATTGTCATGACTTCTAAGTCATGAACATGTAAGACTGCTAAAAGAAGGCTACCTAATTACATATTTATATAGAGACAACTATAGATCAGGTGATGAAAGGTACCAAAATAAAGGAGTTCTTCGCGGAAATGTGTCGTCAATGAATGGAGAATTTTTTTTAACATTTTCAGGAAACAAAACTGATATGAAGTGATCTAAATTTTCAATTAAAAATGTGAGATGAGGGGAAATCAAAAAAAATAAATATAGGTCTATGTGTTGATATATATGGGAATATAATTATGGGAATATAATTAAAATATGGGAATATAATTAAAATGCCGTTAAATGTTTCTTCCTCCAAGAAACCCGAATGTCAAATTATGACCAAAATTTTCAAAATATCTAAAGCACAGGGGAACCGTTATATGCATACTAATATGTCCCATTTTAATTTCAAACATCCAGGGAATTGTGGTATCTCTATGTAATTTTTGAAAGGTCTATCTTAAATATTGTGAACTCTACAGTGGCCGAAAGGCGATCATGGCCAAGTCGATATAGAATTTTATTCTGATGAATAATAATAATAATGAGGTCTCTGACGACTATTTCGGTGTGTTAGACAAAGACTAATTAATTTAATACACACCTCCATCTTATGGTGGGATCTATAAAAATACACCTTCCCTCTTTAAACTAACCCACATACATACAAATCTAAAAATGTCTGTTTTAAAACCCACATTTAATTCTCAAAAATAAATTGATATTCAAAATTTATTTATTTTCGATGACATTTAAAACAAATAAACTTATAAAAAACACTCCTAGCATAAAACAAATATAACGGTTATTCGGACATAATTATTATCGACGACGACCATTAAAACTACAGCAATAATCGTCGTGGTCTATTATTAGTCAAAACAAAGACCCCATAATTATGACAGCGGGCAAATGAATAAAATAATAATTATTACTATTATTCGAAAGGCGAAATAGCAACAACAATAATAACAAAATGACAATAATTTTCAATTTGTTGTTGACTGGTGACACCCAGCTACAAAAAAACATAAATGTTCGAAAAACCATTTAAAAACAGTTCAATAGACAAAACGCCGTTCAGTTGTTGATTTATTTATATAAATGTGTGAGTGTGTGTGTGGTTTTATTATTTTGAATGTCTTTGACCTTTTGCTGGTAAAAACGGTTTTTGGTCAAAACCAAAAAACAAACTTTGCCTCAAATCGTTAGCAGTAAATTAAGCATAGAACAACAAACAGTTAAACTAGGAAATCTATTTTGGTTGTTGTGGTCTGCCAGCATTTTTGGTGGCGAGAAAAAAAATTTTTGAACTTCATAAACGAAATAGACATAAATATTCTGATTAATACCCCCACCAGAAAAAATAAACAAAAGATTAATAAACGAAATCGCTCATAATATTTCAAAAAAATTGCATACGAAATGTTTGCCTATTGAAGTGGGGCTGTGTTTTTTTATTTTTAGCTTTCGGTTATATTTTTGTGGGTTTGGAGGTCAAACACAAAAAAAATATATGCAGAGAAGGATTGAAAAATTAAATGACACACAAAAGATTAAGGTTAAGAGGAGGATTTTTTTATTTCTAAAAATAAAGACAAGTAAATCCATTAAGGGGGAATTGTGACGAATTGAAATCTCCCCCAAGACAATTTATTAAATTGTGTTTTTTAATCAAATCAATGTCACTGTGTTGTTCATGGATTTTCAGCAAGCGAATCTTCATGGTATTGTTGCTGATTATCCAAATTCACCCCTCTCTAAATTGCCAATTAAACCACTTGGTTTTTATTTTAAATTGCCAATTGTTGTAGTTTTTTTCTTTTTGTATCAAAAAAAAAAAAAAAACAATTGTTACATTTGGTTATGTTGTGATGACCTTGAGACAAGCAATGTGTAGCACATGTTTTAATTTTGGCATTACTAATTGAAATTTTGTATTGTTTCAATTAAATTTAAAAATCCAAAGTCAAGATTAAAATAAAAAAACAGATACTGAATATATGATTCCACGCTTATGGATGGACTTCGAAAATATATTTAAAATATTCTACACTTATAGATAGGCCATGAAAAAATATTTTTATTAAAAACTTTATGCCTGGCCTCACAATTTGTTTCAATCCACGATTAAAACTTTGCTTCGAAAAAATATTTTTAAAAAATCCACGCATAAAGCTGGACCTGGAAAATATATATTTTAAAAATCCACGTCTATATTTAAACCATATATGATTACTTTAAAAATGTTTAAACAAATTGTGCGAGAATATTTCTTAAAAAATTCAGGCTCATAGATTGTCCTAAAAACAATTTTTAAAAAATTAACTTAAATAATAGTTTCATAAAATTCAAGATTGTGGATGGACTTTGAAAATATTAAAAAGCTAATATTTTTTTATAAAAACCTACAAGCCTGGCCTCACTATTTTTTTAAACCACTCGCCTATATATGGACCTCGGAAAAAATATTTTTAAAAAATTAACGCCATTAAATAGACTTAGAAAACAATGTTTTTAAAAACTCAAGCCTTCAGATGCTTTAAAAAATAAAATTCCAAGGCTATAGCTGTGGTTTACAACTGTGTTTTAAAAACATAATTTTTAAGAATCCACGCTCATAAATGGGCTTCGAAAAGATTTGTGTGAAAATCCACGCATGTAGAAAGTTTCCAAATTATTTTTTTAAATCCAGGCCTGTAGAAAAGCCCGCGACTTAACTTGGCTTCGAAAAAAAAATGAGCCCGTGACTTAATTTAGCTTCGAAAAAAATATTTAAACAAATCGGGATTACAGGTCTTGAAAAAATATATTATTAAAATACCCGCCACGAGCCAGGAAAAAAATATTTATAGAAATCTACGCATACAACTGAACTAAAAATATCTTCCAGGCCTAAAGAAATATCTCAAAAAAAAAAAAAAAAAAAAAAAAAAAAAAAAAAAACTAGCTATGGGTATTTAGTACACAATTACATTTAATCGGACAAAACTATATATGGGAGCTATATCTAAATATGAACCGATTTTCACAAAACTTAGCACCCATCATTCTGGACCTAATTCAGTATCCTATGCAAAATTTCGTGTAAATCGAAAGATATATAGGGACTTTGGTGCCCCGTTTACCTTAAATCGGACGAAAATATATATGGCAGCTATATCTAAATCTGAACCGATTTTCTCGAAACTTGGCAGACATCACTCTAGGCTCAATTCAGTACGTTATGCCAAATTTCGTGCAAATTGAAAGATATATAAGTACTTTGGTGCACCAATTACAGGAAATCGGATGAAACTATATATGGGAGCTATATCTAAATATGGACCGATTTTTCCCAATTTCAATAGGACCAAACAAATGAGCTGTGCTAAATTTTATCTAATTCGGATCATAAATGCGACCTGTACTTTGTTTACAATTTAACATGGACAGACGGACGGACCTGCATAAATCGACTCAGAAAGTGATACAATGCATATTCTCAAAAGGAACCATGGGTCTATCTCGATAATTTTTGCCTGTTACAAACATATGCAGAAAGACATAATACGCCTATTACTAGGATTTAATTTTTTTAAGGATTCGCACCAATAGAATTGATTTAATATATATATATATATATATATATACATATATTATTTTTTTTTTTTTGAAAAATCAAAAACTACTGTCTGATCTCAAATTGTAAACAAATTACTTAGCAATTAATTTCTTTTGTTTTTTTACTTCTCGTTGTAAATAATTATGCAATACGAATACTACTTACATCAGATCTGGTCTAAAATGATGGATCATTGCACAAAACGCCAGACCATCACGCCACGATGTGGTCATATTGTCGATTTGTACACCAGGATAACCTTCTGTCATGCGACGGCACCATAATTCCAAAGCTTTTGTTCCACGACGTTCAGCCATTGTTCTTCTGTTGTTGTTGTGTGTTTCTGGTTTTCTAAAGCTTTATTGTTCCGCTGGTTGGGGTATGTCTAATGCGTTGTCAGCGTTTTAAAAAAAATTATTGTAGACACGCGATCAAAATACAAAATCTATGTTGTTTAATAATTATGGGGATTTTTGTTGTTTCCAAAAACTCTTCTAAAGCACCAACAAATCAAATGTTGTGATTTAAGTTTTGAGTTTTAATCTGAAATAAAAAAAAAAAAAAAATAAGATAGAATTGAATGATTAATATAGTGTCATATATAAATGTATGTTAATTAAGAAAACAAACATGTTTTCGTTTCAGAACATGGTTATTTAGAATGTGTTATTAAAATATATTGAGAAGATGTATTTGAAATGAAATAATCGAGTTTTTGTATGTGTCAATAAATTGATGGGTATTGGGATGGGACGAAAATAAAGAGTTTTTGTAGAAAATGTTAATGTATTAACAGCCTCTGTCAATGCATTAACAGTCTCTGTTAATGTATTAACAACCTCTGTTAATGTATTAACAGCCTCTGTCAATGCATTAACAGCCTCTGTTAATGTATTAACAACCTCTGTTAATGCATTAACAGCCTCTGTTAATATATTAACAACCTCTGTTAATGTATTAACAGGCTCTGTTAATGTATTAACAGGCTCTGTTAATGTATTAACAGGCTCTGTTAATGTATTAACAGGCTCTGTTGATGTATTACCAGGCTCTGTTAATGTATTAACAGCCTCTGTTAATGTATTAACAGCCTCTGTTAATGTATTAACAGCCTCTGTTAATGTATTAACAGCCTCTGTTAATGTATTAACAGCCTCTGTTAATGTATTAACAGCCTCTGTTAATGTATTATTAGCCTCTGTTAATGTTTTGACAGCCTCTGTTAATGTTTTAATAGGTTCTGTTAATGTTTAACAGCCTTTGTTAATGTATTAACAGCCTCTGTTAATGTATTATTAGCCTCTGTTAATGTTTTGACAGCCTCTGTTAATGTTTTAATAGGTTCTGTTAATGTTTAACAGCCTTTGTTAATGTATTAACAGCCTCTGTTAATGTATTAACAGCCTCTGTTAATGTATTAACAGCCTCTGTTAATGTATTAACAGCCTCTGTTAATGTATTATTAGCCTCTGTTAATGTTTTGACAGCCTCTGTTAATGTTTTAATAGGTTCTGTTAATGTTTAACAGCCTCTGTTAATGTATTAACAACCTATGTTAATGTATTAACAACCTCTGTTAATGTATTAACAGCCTCTGTTAATGGTTTACCAACCTCTGTTAATGTATTACCAACCTCTTTTAATGTTTTGACAGCCTCTGTTAATGTTTTAATAGGTTCTGTTAATGTATTAACTGCTTCTGGGAATGTCTTATCGATCTATGTTAAGTCATATACCAAATTGTTTTCTAATGTGTGTGTGTTTTTGTTTTTAATTTCTCAGTATTGCCTATCCTTCCCGTCATGTAACCACCAACCCGTCATGTCAGACGAACCCTTATTTCAATACCTATGTTCTATGCCGTCATTACATGTTAATTTATTTTTTATTATTTCGAAATTTGCTAACTGAACAACAAATGGTCATCCATCCACTAACTTTATGTATTGTATTTAAGTATTCAGTTGGTGTTAAAATTTATGTTCAGAAACTTCTCAATACTATCTAGTAAACCACAAGAAGTAGAAAAGAGCTAATATTTCTTAAGAAACTGTCAATATGCTGGCTGGCGGCTGAGTGAGTGACTGACTGAAACAAACCTTTACGGTTTTTACATGAAATGTATGCTAAACCACAATAACACAACAATATAAAAATAAATTCAAAATTTGCATAAAAAAATAAAACGTGCTTAGACTTTTTTATGTACAGCACAACAAAATTTCGTAGACAAACATACGAGCACACATATGTACAAGCATAGATGTCATTCCACCATTCCAATTGGAATTGAAGACAAAACAAGAAGACTACACTTTTTGAATTTTGTATTCAGTTTGGTTGAAGACTTCTTTAAGTTTGATGACGTTTAGCTTTAATGGGTTTCTGAAAAAACCCTTTACCCTCTAGCCCATACAAAAACTAACTTCCATTAACTTCAATGAATTGTGTGTGTGAACAATGTTTGAAGTTTTTTTTCGCTGACGGTTTGTCTTCTTCGTCGAAGACAAGTCTACAAAATGGAAAAACATTTATATTTTTATTTGTGAAGAGAAAGTTCATGTAGCATTACTACGGAAGCTTTCCTCCCAGAGTGTATCGATGATGAATCGTTTATTTAATTTCTCGTTAAGGAACTACAATAAAAATTTTAGTTCCTTGTCATTTAGTTTTGTCATCACTTTCATTATTTTGTGATTTTGTAAATAAATCATTTTGATATTAAAAGATTTTGACATATGATGCGGGTATTTTTTTTAATAAAAGTCTATTGTTTCATCTCCAAAGCTTTAACTCTTAAAAAATCAGATATTACGTCAAATTTTGGTATTTTAACAAAAACTGTAAATACTTTAATGGAGACTGTTAATACTTTAACAGAGACTGTTGATGTCTTAAGAGTGGATGTTAATACTTTAACCGAGAATGTTATACCTTAACAGAAAACGTTATCAATTAAAAGAGGCTGTTAATACATTAACAGTGCCTGTCAATACACTAACAGAGGCTGTTAACACGATAACAGTGTCTGTTAATACATTAACCGATGCGTTTAATATATTAACAGAGATTTTAATACATTAACAGATGTTGTCAGTAGATTAACATAGGCTGTCAATACATTAAAAGAAACTTTTGTTACATAAACAGAGGCTGTTAATACATTAAAGGAAGTGGTTAATACCTTAGTGGAGGCAGTTAATACATTAACATAGGCTGTTAATTCATTAATAGATCAATAGATTAACAGAGGATGTTAATACATTAACAGAGGCTGTTAATACATTAACAGAGGCTGCTAAACCTTAACAGAGACTGTTAATACATAAACAAAGGTTGTTAATACATGAACAGATTCTGGTGGTTCATTAACAGGGGCTGTTGATATATTAACAGAGGATGTCAATTCATTAACAGAGGCTGTTAATACACTAACATTAACAGGAGATGTTAATACATTATAAACACTCTTAATTTTTTAATAGAGCCTGTTAATATATTAACACTGGCTGTTACCTTCTTAACAGAGATTGGTCTTGGTTCGCTTCAGGTCAACAGAGACTGTGATATTTTTATTTAGAAGAATTCCGCCTCAGGTTGGTCGGAGGTCTGATTTTTTTTTATAGAAAAACAATATCTTCTGATAAACTGAGGCAGAGATTTTTATGAAAAGTTAGTAGACCTCAGAAGCACTAATGCTGTTATTTATGTATTCAGGTAAAAGTCCGGTTCAGATGAACAGGGAATTTTTGTATCATTATACCCTACACCATACGGTGCATAATATATTAAATATAAGATTGAAATAATCGACGGAGAATACATTATGTATATATATATATGATATCAGAATAAAAGTAGGTGTTTTTTAGGCTGGTCCGTCCGTATGCCTGTTGAAATCACTATAGAGTTCGCAATATTTTAGATACAACTTCGAAAATTTGCACTGACATAGCTATTACTCTTAGGATTTTTGGAAGTGTAACTAGTCAATATCGATCCAATTTTTTTGTATATATTTCGGTATTTTTAAATCTTCCAACAATAAGGGTTGTAATTTGACATACCAGGGTATATTAAAAGGGTCTCAGCCAATTTTTAAAATTTTGAGAATTTAAGCTGTGTTTTTTTACCTAAAAGTATTTCGGAGTTGTCAAGGCTGGCAAACATCTATGTAGACAATTATAAATACAGGTCCATATTTTGACATACCACCGATATGAAAAGGCGGGAATTCCGGTATTTTTTAGAGTTTTTCCTGCATCTCCTCCGAAAAAAGCTCTAATATGGCATTTCAGGGTTATGGAGGTTGCCACATTTATGCCTGGGAAGAAATTATAATTATAGGGAAGAAATTATAATTATAGGTCCATGGTTTGTCCTTTCACCTATAAAGGACCCGCCCAATTTTCGTTAATAAGGCTCTAATTAAGCATTTCAAGGGTTTGGAGTGTGTAGAAAAGAAAATTATTGTTATGGGTTTAGGGTTTTAATGTTTCTCCGCCCAATTTTCGTTATATTGACGGTTTGATCCACATTTTCAAATGTGTTTTATAGATTTTTTCTAACCGAAAATGCTCTAATTTACCATTTCAAGGGTTTGGAGACTGTCATACATCTGCGCAGAAAACGATTGTTATAGGTCTAGGCTTTAACATACCCCCACCCATTTTATTAGTTTTATCCACATTTTCAAATGGAAAAGGCTCTACTTTACCTAATTTGCATACATATGCAAAAAAAAATATATATATATATATATATAATTATAGATCAATGTTTTGACATAGCCCAATATAAAAGTCCCGCCTGTTTTGGGATTTTGAGAACATAATAATTATTTTGTTTCCTTTTTTCGTTTGTTGTTTTATTTAATTTTCAATTTATGTTGTTGTTGTAAAATCTGCCTTGTTATTTCATGTGTAAAGAACCAATAAGAGAAAGTCTATTTAATCAGTGTTAACTGAGTTGTGAAAAACAAATAAGAAGATTTTTCTTTAACAACTTCAGTTGCAGCAGCAGCAACAACAACAATAATAATTATTGTGAAAAAGTTGTTAAAGATAAGGTAAATATATATGGCTATCGGTCTTCGTCATCAAGCTGGTGGCTGGCTACTGGTGATTTGTTTGTTGTTATTGTGGATTTTGTTGTTTTAAAAATTGGAAATAACAGGGTAACATTTAACGCCAGTGGCAAGCAAGCAACTTGTATGACTTTGTCGTGTCGCCATCGCCACCAACACCACAATGAATGACTGACTGACAAAATGAATGCATGAATGGTTGTTTTGTTGCAATGGTTGAATGGAGTGTTG